AATGTGGATTTGGCAGGATTAGCATCCTTTCACGGATGAGGATAATAATGATAATAAAACCCCAACCCCCTCTGACGATGAAGATGATGATAAACAACCTCAATCGTTTTTTTTTTAAAAAAAATAATAATAATACCTCCCAAGGTAGATTAAGAAGACCTTATCAACTTCAGGAAGGACAAATTCCCAATGGAAGGAAAAGAAATGCAGGAGGGATGGAGAAGGGATGGGTGTGGGGAGATGGATGACTAGGAGAGGAAGGGTCCCCTCCCTATTTGTAGAGGGGGTTCACTTCACTTAGGAAAGTGGGGACAATGCTAGTTGACAGAAAAAAGAAAAGTTGCATTGGGTCATTGTTATGGCCGGTCCGAGGATCTGGCAGCAGAGTCGGACAGTGAGGAGGTTGGGGAGAAACATGGGCCAGTCCTGGACTCTGGGGAACACTCGGATAAGGGGTCTGAGTCAAAGGCAGAGAGGGGGCCAGGGCCATCTGACAGTGATCAGGTTCCTATTTTTCTACTTGCATTTTTACGTGCTTTCGAACTGCTAGGTTGGCAGAAGCTGGGACAAGTCACGGGAACTCACTCCACTAGGGATTCGAACCACTGAACTTCTGACCCTCTGATCAACAAGCTCGGCATCTTAGCCACTGAGCCACCTCGTTCCAATCATTTATTAGGAACACCATTTCGGCAATACCCCATTGCAGTCAGTTCTGACCTCATTTAAATTATGGCTGAATTTTGCCCCCGTTTCTTACCTCCCCTCAGTCTGTGTCATAAATCACATTCTCCCACGAGGTGCCTCACAAGCCTGCTGTAGTAATCTGAGATCTAACTTTAGCCAAAGGTATGCATGGAATGCACTCCCCCCCCCTTTCCTCACCATGGCATGCAAATGCTTTATGAGTTGACATAGAAACTGTCCAATTCTTAGGACCATCCACATCCCTGGCAGGAGAAAGGAGGGAAGGGTGGAGGAGACATCTCAGAGACAAGGAGAACATCACCCAATGTTGTGGGAAGGGAGGAGTTGCCGTACATACCTTGAGGACAGCATCCGAAGGGAGAAAGGCTGACAGTGTGGTGCGCTAAGATACGTTCGCCTGGATGGTTGCATACTCAACCAGATCCCCACCAGCAGGAATGGAGGCTTTGTGACTCGGTGATGATGATGTGGTCAAAACGGACGTGTCCAGCTCTGCGTATTGGATGTTGGCATCCTTGTTGTTGCCCGTGGTCTGAAGATGAAAGAGCGCGATGGATGGACAGGAAGGAAGGAAGGAAAGAAAGTGGGGAGTGAAGAAATGCGGAGGTGGAAAGACAAGACACCAGGGAGAAGGAGGAAAGGAAGAGAGAAGAAGACAGTCAAATGGGGGAAATCAAGACAGAAAAGGAAATGAAGAACGACAGTGAGAAAGAGATCAAAAGAAGCTCAAAAGAAACATTGCTCTGAGGATTTGAATCTCTCAGAATCACAATTCATGAGTCCGTTTCCTTCTCGTGTACCAATGGCTTTGCAATCTCTAGGATGCTGTCTTTGTCTGCTTTTCTGTCTATCGGGAAACATTCGTATGATGTTTTCTCAGCTGGCTTGCTTATTCCCAAGTCATCCAAGAGGGAAACACTAAAGCTTGATCGATCCATACCTGTGACAAAATCAAGGAGGAAATCGTAGCCAGAGAGCATGAAAGAAAGAACTTGGGAGATTTCAAACCCAGGCTATTCAGAAAACACCCAGTTAGGAAAGAGTAAGGTGAAGGTTTCCAATCATGTCTGACTCTAGGGCATAGTGCTTATCTGTTAAAATATTCATGACTGGGAGATGCATGGGAACAAGGTCAGCCAAGGAATAGGCATAGCAATTAAGTCAGCCAAGGGGAGCTTAAACAGATCTGAGTCTGTGCTGAAAATCGAAACTGAAACTTAAGCAGTCTGCTGCTCTGAGAAGTAAACTTGTCTGGACTTGCCCTATCTGCTCTGAACTCTGAAATGAAGCTAGGCTGTTCTCTCCTGCTTGTGTTCTGGTGAACTGCAACTTCTACCATGTTGGAAGAACCACCTGTTGGTATTGTACATTTATTCCTCTGTTCTTAGGTATATAAAGAAGTTAATGAATCCAGCTGAATCAGTTATCTGTCTGCGATTTCTGGTTTTGATTTTTTCCCAACAAACTCTGACCTTCTCTCCATTTCTTGGCCAAGGGCAACCAGAATTATCTGAAGAAGCTTCTGTGGTCATCTGGCCAGCATAGCTATATGCCAAAGGCACAGAAAAGTGGTATCAATGGTACCTATTCAACTACTTACATGTGCATGCTTTCGAACTGCTAGGTGGGCAGGAGCCAGAAATAGGAATGGGAGCTCAACCAGTTGCACAGTGCTCAGGTCTCGAACCTGGGCTGTCAGCTTTCCATCTGACAAGTTCAGTGTCTTTAACTGCTAAGCAATCATGGCCCCCAAATTAGGAAAGAGTAAAGGTAAAGATTCCCTTGCACATGCGTGCTAGTCATTTCCGGCTCTATGGGGCGATGCTCACCTCTGTTTCAAAGCTGAAGAGCCAGCGCTGTCCGAAGACACCTTCATGGCCATGTGGCCGGCATGACTAAACACCAAAGGCACATGGAACGCTGTCACCTTCTCACCAAAAGTGGACCCTATTTTTCTACTTGCATTTTCTACTTGCATTTTTTACATGCTTTTGAACTACTAGGTTGGCAGAAGCTGGGACAAGTAGCAGGAGGTCACTCCGTTATGTGGAGCTAGAGATTCGAACTGCCGAACTGCCAACCTTTCTGATTGACAAGCTCAGCGTCTTAGGCACTGAGCCACTACGTCCCAAAGGAAAGAGTATAGCTTCAAATACAGCATTTTCTGAGGTCAGGAACGAAGAAAGAGACTTTTCATGGCTGTCTTTCCGCAATCCAGATGTTTTGCAGAGACCAGGAAAAGGAACTTTGGTCTGCATGCCCTCACATAAAACTTCCCTTCCTCCAACTTTCCCATGAAAAATAGGTGACGTCAGTGTAGCTACACGCTCTAAATATATATATGCCTTCTTATTTTGATTAAACCTTCTGCCCGCATCCCTTTTAACCTCTCAGTCCTTCCAAATCTTTTAGCTGGCAGATATTATTCCGAAGGAGCTCAGTCTCCCTCCCTCTCCTTCTCTTTCAAATGGTTTGCAGCAACTGCCCAGCTGCGGGGGAAGCATTCAAAGAAATTTTGTGGCTTCAGAACAAGCACTTTGAAGCCCGTGGCGAGGTGGACTGATTTGGCCAGTAATTGCCTGCCTCCAAGTCCCGTATCCGAGACCTGATTCCCTGTTAGATGCCAAGGCTGAGTGCTTTACTTTCTTGCCTTGATGAGCAATGGAACGGCACGGGATTCAGCTGAAACTGTGTCACCATCTATAAAAAGTTTGGTCCCAACGCCTGACTGGCAGAAAAGTAATGAGAATTTCTTTTTCCCCCATGTCGAGAGCCAGCACGGGTTCCAAATGACATGGATGGGCCCAGTTTGACCATACGCTTTGCTAGATCCAAGGCAAGGTAGAAATTCATCAGGTGAAGGTCTGGGTAACTGAGAAGAGCAGAGAAGTAAAGCTGTCTGGAGCAACAAGTAAAGGAAACTGAGGCTGAAGCCATAGAATCATAGAATCCTAAGGCTGGAAGGGACCATGGAGGTCTTCTAGTCCAAGCCCCCTACCCAAGGCAGGAGTTCTTAGGGGACTGGAGGCTAAAACATATGAAGAACGGTTGCAGGAACTGGGCATGGCTAGTCTAGAGAAGAGAAGGACCAGGGGAGACAGGATAGCAGTCATCCAATATTTGAGGGGCTGCTACAGAGAGGAAGGGGTCAAGGTATTTTCCAAAGCACCTGAAGGCCAGACAAGGAATAAGGGATGGCAACTAAACAAGGAGAGATATTTCAACCTAGAAACAAGGAGGAACTTCTGACAGTGAGGACAATCAACCCATGGAACAGAAGTTGCCTTCAGAAGTTGTGGGAGCTTCATCACTGGAGACTTTCAAGAAGAGACTGCCATTGGTCAGAAATGGTGTAGGGTCTCCTGCTTGAGTGGGTGGGGGGTTGGAGTAGATGACCTACAAGATCCCTTCCAACTCTGTTAATCCGTTAAAATCTTGGACAATTGCTTAGCCAATCTTTTCTTGAAAGCCTCCAGTGTTGGTGCACCCACAACTCTCTTAAAGCAAATTAACCAATGGAATAACTTGCCTTCAGAAGTTATGGGTGCTCCACCACTGAAGGTTTTCAAAGAGAGACTGGACAATTATTTGTCTGGAATGATATAGGGTCTTCTGCTCGAGTGGGGATGTGGTGGACTAGATGACCTCCAAGGTCTCTTCCAACTCTATTATTCTATGTTTTAAATTAACCCCCCCTTCCTTGTGATGGCCCTTCAAGTATTGGAAGATGTTATCACATCATCCTTAGGCTTTCTCTTTCTTAAGCTACCTGCCAGAAATAAATAAATATCCTTCATATTCCCCATTAGTGGTTTATTATCTCTGAATATAGAGACTTTGCTTCAATATCATGACTAATGATTGTTAACAAATCTAAAGGTAAATGTAAAAGTTCCCCTCACACATATGTGCTAGTCGTTCCCAACTCTAGGGACAAGGCCCAAGCCCGGTTCAAAACCCAAGAGCCAGAACTGTCCAAAGACGTCTCCGTGGCCATGTGGCCGGCATGACTGAACGCCGAAGGCGCACAGAACACTATTACCTTCCCACCAAAGGTGGTTCCTATTTTTCTACTTGCATTTTTTATGTGCTTTTGAACTGCTCGGTTGGCAGAAGTTGGGACAAGTAACGGGAGCTCACTCCGTTACGTGGTGCTAGGTATTCGAACCACCGAACCACTGACCTTTCTTGACTGACAAGCTCAGCATCTTAGTCACTGAGCCGCTGCGTCCCCTGTTAACAAATCTATTTGTCTCCAAAGCAACCTTTAAGTTATCCAACCATTGGACATCACAACCCCATACTCAGTTGAGGTGGGGAAGAATAAATGCATGAAGAAAGAGACAAAAAAACATGGGAAAGTCCATCCTGAATTCCCTCTTTTTTGTGTGTGTGTGTGTTTGTGTGTGTGTGTGTGTCCGTCCAAGGGAGGAAAATGAAACTTGATCTTGCAAAGAAGAGCCTTTAGAATGTTTCTCTTTCCCCTTTCTCTTTTACTGCAAGAATGCGTATCTTTCTGGAACTTGTCTGCAATTCTATTTTTTTTAATTCGTTTAAAAAACAACAACAACAACACCCTACATTGCTTATCCTATCTTGCAGTGCAGCTGATTTAAATCAGTACCTCCTGAGTTATCTGCATTACATTTTCAAGACCGAAAATGCCGGCAGCTTATGGAAATGTCACCACTGGGGAACGAGGGGGAATAAGGAGGACCGAGGCGGGTGGGCAGGTGGGCGTTTTTGAATTACACTTGAAAACAGGGGAGGGGGCATGGGAAAGGAGAAGGTTACAGAAGCCTAAATGCCCCCCCCCCCTCTCTGGGGGAACCCAACGCTGATTCCCTCTGTGGAACCCTCGTTGGGACAGGTGGCTGCGCATGCAAGCTTATTCTTATGCCCTTACTCTTAACACTGGTACACCATAGGTTGCATGTTGAGTCCCTTACTCTATACTCTTTATGTGCACGACTGCATTCCCACTCATGCTGGTAATACTATTACTAAATTTGCAGATGAGACAACAATGGTAGCAATAGCAGTTAGACTTATATACCGCTTCATAGAGCTTTCAGCCCTCTCTAAGCGGTTTACAGAGTCAGCATATCGCCCCCAACAACAATC